TCTCTCTCTCTCTCTCTCTCTCTCTCCTCTATCTTTAAAAAAAAAATCCTGAGACACTATCAATCATGTACAGTTATGCTTCACTTAATGGAAGGAACACAGTGTGAGAAATGCATCATTAGGCGATTGTTTTTGTATGAACATTGTGGAATACACTTTTGACACTGAGATGGTATATCTTCCTACACACTAGGCTGTATGGTGTGGCCACCACAGTTCTGTGCCCATTGTTACACAGTACATGACTGTTATAGCCCTTGACTATGTCCTTCTCCACAGCTGCTGATGCTGAGGTCTGAATTCATTTTTATAGAACCTCATGTGGTGTTTTGCATGTACTACTTAATTAGTGTTTGCTATGTAAATTTAATTACTTATCCACAGCCTTACTTGTGCTGGCCTCAGTAATAAAGCAAAAACCAATTTGAAGACTAGAATTCTTTGCCAGTAAAATGATAATACAGATACTTGAGTACTTTACCTTCTTGATTTGATTTTTAAGGTGACAAATTAAAACTAACAAATGAATTAAATACATGAAATTTTATAGTATTTCTGTATTTGACAAGAACAATTTAAGTCACACATCACAGATATGATTAAGTTTGATCAGAACAGCACAACTTATTTAGGATACTATTTAAATGACCATATTAAAATCAACTTTCAGATGGCAATTTATTTATTTATTTTTTGGGGACTGGGGATTGAACTCAGGGGTGCTTAATCACTTAGCCACATCCCCAGCCCTATTTTTTTGTGGGGGAGACAGGGCCTCACTAAGTTGCTGAAGCTGTCTTTTGAGCTTGCTATCCTCCTACCTCAGGCTCCCAAGCTTGTTAGGATTATAGATGTGCGCCACAGCGCCTGGCTGGACAACTATTTTGTTACATATAAGTACTTATATTTGTTTTATATTTTGAAATGCACTATATCCTTACTTTTTTGTTTTCTAAATAAATCCATACAATTTTATCATTAATGTTTGTGTTCTTTATCTTCCGGCATAGAAGGACTATTAATAAGGAGCCTTTAAAAAATAATGGAATAGCTAAATGTCAGAGGAACACTTTCATGCATGACTGTTTTAATGAAAAAATATTGGCTTTTAAAAATTATATTATTTTTAACTCACATTAATTGTACAATTAACAGGTTTGACTGTGACATTTTTATAAATGCATATATTGTACTTTAGTTATATCCACCTTCTCACTGCCTTCTCTTGCCATACTTTCTCTGTCCCCCATGGTCCCTTTCTCTTCCCTAAAATCCCTCTCTACTTTCAGATAATCTTATTTATTCATTTATTCTATTGTCTCAACACATGACAGAAAATAAGTGATACTTATTTTTCTGTGTTTGCCTTTTTTTGTCCTCCAGTTCCATCCATTTTCCTGCAAATGACATGATTTCATTCTTTATGTTTGCATGATACTCCAGTGTATGTGGGCGTTTTTTTTTTCTTTTTTTTAATTGGTTGTTCAAAACATTACAGAGCTCTTGACATATCATATTTCATACATTAGATTCAAGTGGGTTATGAACTCCCATTTTTACCCCAAATACAGATTGCAGAATCACATCGGTTACACATCCACATTTTTACATAATGCCATATTAGTAACTGTTGTATTCTGCTACCTTTCCTATTGCATGTGTGCGTTTTACCTTTTCTTTATCCATTCATCTGTTGATGTGAACCTAGGCTGATTCCACATTTTGGTATTGTGAATACTACTGCAATAAATATGGGTAAGGAGATGTTCCTTTTGTATGCTGACTTCATTTTCTTTGGATATGTACCAAAGAGTGGGATACTTGGATCATATGGCAGTTCTGTTTTTTAGTGTTTTGAGGAACCTCAACACTGTTTTCTATAGTGGCTGTACAAATTTACCGTTCCACTGAGAGTGTATGAAGAATTCCTTTTCCCCACCTCCTTGCTAGCATTTGTCATTTTTTACTTTGTTGATAATGGGCATTCTAACTGGGGTGACATATAATCTCAGTGTAGTTTTGTTTTACATTTCCCTGGTGGCTAAAGATATTGAGCATTTTTCATACACTTACTGGACATTTGTACCTCTCTTGGGGAAGTATCTGTCAGGTCATTCATCCAGTTTTTTTTAAAATTGGATTAATTTTGGGGGTTTGTTGGTAAGTTTTTTGAGTTCTTTATAATATATTCTGGATATTTAATTTCTATCGGCTATTCATGTATATAATCTGGATATTAAATTTCTTTCAGATGAATAGCTGGCGAAGATTTTCTCCCATTCTATAAGTTGTTTTTTTATTCTGTTGATTGTTTCCTTTACTCTGTAGTATTTTTTAAAATTTTTTTTAAGAGAGAGAGAGAGAGAGAGAGAGAGAGAGAGAGAATATTTTAATATTTATTTTTTAGTTTTCGGTGGACACAACATCTTTGTATGTGGTGCTGAGGATCGAACCCGGGCCATACGCATGCCAGGCGAGCACGCTACCACTTGAGCCACATCCCCAGCCCTCTATAGTATTTTTTAATTTGGTGAAACCCCATTTATCAATTTTTGCTTTTGTTTCCTGAGCTATTAGAGTCCTATTTAGGAAATTGTTGCCAATGCTAATATATCAAAGTGTTTCTTTTGTTTTCTTCTAGTAGTGTCAGAGTTTCAGGACTTATATTCAAGTCTTTGATCCATTTTTTTATGGTACTGGGGATTGAACCCAAGGGTGCTTAATCACTGAGTCACATTCCCAGTCCTTTTTGCATTCTATTTAGAGAGAAGGTCTTGCTGAGTTTCTAAGTGCCTCATTAAGTTGCTGAAGCTGGCTTTGAACTTATGAGCCTGCTGCTTCAGCCTCCCAGAGCCGCTGGGATTACAGGCATGTGCCACTGCACCCAGCCTTTTATCTATTCTAAGTTGATTTTTGTGTGGGTGATAGATAGGGATACACTTTCAGTCTTCTACATGTGGACATCCAGGTTTCCCGGCATCATTTGTTAAGATGCTGTTTTTTTTTTTTTTCTCCAATGTGTTTGACTCCTTTGTTGAGAATCAGATGATTGTAAGAGTGTGGATTATTTTTGGATCCTCTGTTTTATTACGGTCTATGGGTCTGATTTTATACCAGCATTATGCTATGTCGTTACTGTGGCTATGTAGTATGTTTTTAAATCAGGTCTTGTGATGTTTCCATTGTTGCCCTTTTTGCATAGGATTACTTTGGCTATTAGGGCTTCTTATAGCCTTCCTTTAAGATTAAAAAAATAACTTCTTCCATAGTGGGACAGGGGCATAGGGAAGAATGAAAGAATTTTGGCTTGTGTAGAGGGGAAGAAAGGGAGGGGTGGGGCTGTGGGGATGGCAAGGATGGTAGAATGAGACAGACATTATTACCTTATATGCATGTGTGATTATGAGAGTGACTCTGTACCATGCACACAGCCAGAGGAATGAGAAGTTGTACTCCATTGTGTACAACATGTGTACAATATGACAAAATGCATTCTACTGTTATGTGTAACTAGTTAGAACAAATTAAAAAAAATAAATTCCCAGTAGACAGTAAAAAAAAATAACTTCTTGATATGCAGATGTTTTAGATTTAACTTTAGGAAACATTAATATTTCATAGTCATATCAGTGTGTTTGCTTTGATGAGTTTAGGGAATCAGATTTAGAATACAAATTTTAATGTTGGAATTACTTAGCTATTTTGAAAAGGTTCTATTTAATGTGTTATAATTTAGAATGGACAGTTTGAAATATGAGTTAGAAAAATGATATAATAAACCACGTTTTCTTCTTGATATTAGAAAAGGAAATAATTACGGTATCTATTAAAATAGGATAAACTGTATTGATTTAATGGTTAACTAGATAATAATTCAAGGAATTAGAAAGGTGGAGCATGTTGGTTCATGATGATTTTGTATCCTAGATTACATATAAGAATTTGGAACTCATTATGATGTCTCATGCCTGTGATCCCAGCAACATGGGAGGCTGAGGCAGGAGTATTACAAGTTTTGTAAGGGTCTGGCGAAACGTTGGAGGGAGAGACCACCCAAGAGACTGGCTCCATGCAATTGGCAAAAGGGGATATTTATTGGGGATCCATTCCAGCGCGCTGGGACTCTGTGCTCACTCAAGGAGGGAGAGCAGCCCAGAGCCCAGAGCAAAGGTCAAGCAGAGCTTAAGTACACTTTTTGGAGAGGGCGGTGGGCTTTGCATACATCAGAACAAATCATCATGAGGCGTGGGGAAATTGAACAACAACTCTGAGACGTGATTGGCACATTCGGGTGGGGGTGATTGGTCATTCGTAAGCGGGTTACACATTCAAACTGATTGGTTCGGGTCCTGTGACGAACTGCACAGGGCCCTAGGCTAAATGGCCAGTAGGGCGTTGTCTTAACTATCTCAGGAATTTCAGGTTCTGGGTGTAACAGAGGAACTTAATAATACCTAATCTTTTACATTCAAGCTTTCCAGCTTAGAAACTTTACCCTTTCAGTTTGAGGTCAGCTTCATCAATTTAGGGAGAACCTGAGCAATTTAGTAAGACTGTCTCAAAATAAAAAAAAATCAATTATGTTTAACATCATTTTAACTATTGTTTATTTTATAGTGATACCAAAACAAAATTGAAGTCATTCCTATTTAATTGATATGGTTTATCCTTACTTTATAAAATTTGTTGATTATCAAATTTAATCTTATTTTGCAAATGATGGAAACCATATTAAACAGTTTTATTTAAATGACCTATCTCAAGAGATAGGTCATCTGTTTATGTAAGCAAAGTTGAGAAGTAAAACTCTGAAATTTCATAATTTATTATTGCATTTGTCTAAAAATAAACTTTTACAAATTAAGATAAACTGTTTTGTTCATTAAATCATAAATGTAACAAAGTTAATTTTCTAAACGTTTATATGCAGGTAAGTAAGCAAGCAAAATGATTGAATAAGAGCTCATATGCTTTGTCTTTTTTCTTTTTCCTCCCAATAGGACCAGACATATTATCAATCATTTCAAGTCTCAGAATATGGTGAGTTCCTCAGTTTATTTTGAAGGAAAACAACAACAACAACAACAAATTTATTACTTTCTACAGAGATAAGAGAAATTGTCAAGAGATAGGCTACTTAAAGTAAAAATTCCAGTGGAGATAAAATTCTGGTGTTCCTTATAGGTCTAAACAAGTATTTTCCTTTATAAAGTTCTAAAATCTCACTAAAAGAATAAAGTAGGAAAAACTATTACCTAAATTCTCATTATGCTAGTCTTTTCCTTTTATATAGTTTTTCTTTTTTTCTATTTGTTGTGACCATAAAATATTTAAAAATTTTTGAGTTTTTAAAAGTCAAAACATTGGGGTTAGTCATGTGTAGTGCAAAGATACATGCCTCTAATCCTAGCAACTCAGGAGGCTGAGGTAGGAGGATCCCAAGTTCAAGGCTGGCCTGAGCAACTTGTTAAGGCTTGTCTCAAAATAGGAAAAAAAAAAAAAAAAAGAAAAAAAGAACTAGGAATGTGGCTTGGTGGTAAGGCACCCTGGTACCAAAAAGCAAAATAAATAAATAAATAAATAAATAAAAATAAAAACATTGGGGTTCAGTGGTAGAGCATGCAAAAGGCCCTGGGTTTCATCATCACACCACAAAATCAAATTAAAAAAACCCCATCTTACTGTCAATTATTTTCCACATTTTTATTTGGTCAACATTGCTGAAGACCACCCATTTAAATCAGGTTAATCATATTCTTATAAGTGCAGCACTTATAATATTGTGTTAAAAACAGATGAAAACTGTGGATTCAGCTAGTTGGTTTATGAATGGAGGAGAGATGAAGGTAGAAGCATGGGATCTCCATCTTAGTTTACCATTTAAGTAGATACTTTGAGTTTGTATATTGAGTTTTTTCATTTAATTTGTGCCACTTTTTGAGACTGTGTTTCATTCAGGCAGCTGAAATTCTGGAAAGTAGTGTGCTTATTTATCCCTTTGTGGCTCAGGCTTAGGATCTCAGCACACACTGTTTCTAGTGGGTGGAGTACAGCATATAATTGCCAACCTACAATGTGTGAGGAGAAGGTATTTGAATTTCCCTTTTGGCCTCCTGTCTTAGATTGGTCCAGGGTATAGGAGGACTTTGAGCATGAAGAGGGCCTGTAGCATTATTTGAGCTGAAAGTCTTCCCTCCATGGGACCCAGAGGTCTTTTTGATATTTGTCTTCTGTTAATTGAATGGTGAGGTTCCTTGTTATGAGACTTAGATCTGTCTTTGATCAGTGAAACTATAGAAAAAAATTTCAGTAGATCAGAAAAAAGCAAACAAACATTTTTTGCTCTGGTGGGGTGCTTTATGTCAAATAGTATTAATTAAAACATAATGTAAGGGGGGTCCGGCGGATCATCCGAGGGAGAGACCACACAAGAGACTTACTCCATGCAATTGGCAAAAGTGGATTTATTGGGGATCCATTCCAGCGCGCTGGGGCTCTGTGCTTACTCAAGAAGGGAGAGCAGCCCAGAGCCCAGAGCAAAAGTCAAGCAGAGCTTAAGTACACTTTTTGGAGAGGGCGGTGGGCTTTGCATACATCAGAACAAATCATCATGAGGCGTGGGGAAATTGAACAACAACTCTGAGACGTGATTGGCAAATTCATTGGCGGGAACAGCTCGGGCAGGGGTGATTGGTCATTCCTAGGCGGGGTACACATTCAAACTGATTGGTTCTGGCCCTGTGACAAACTGCACAGGGCCCTAGGCTAAATGGCTAGTAGGGTGTTGTTTTAACTATCTCAGGAATCTGGGTGTAACAGAGGAACTCAATAATACCTAATCTTTTACATTTTAATTCAAGCCTTCCAGCTTAGAAACTTTACCCTTTCAATATTTCATACTTAATTACATAAAGCTGACCTAAGTAAGGATTTCTAATTTGAATAAAGGTGTTTTAATGTATGTTTGGATTCTAATGATTCTAAGTTTAAGTAATAAAAATTATCAACTATTTCAGAAAAATTTAATTTTTTATTTTGCTCAGCTGAAGATAATGGTAAAACATATTCTTTAAAAGATTGCTTTTTTCCCCCCAGTGTTACCAAAATTTGAAGTTGCTTTGCAGACACCATTATATTGTTCTTTGACGTCTAAGAATTTAAATGGTACCATCACCGCAAAGTAAGTATTACTTTTCTTTTGATAAGACTCTCAATCATTATAAAACTGTAAATCAAAAAGCTTATTATATATTCCAGAATATTAGCACTATGCTTTGCTTATCCAAATATCCTACTGGGTGATAAACAACTATTTATAATAAGTAATCAAGCATGAGACAGGTCTTTATATCCATGTCTCTGTTTCCAAGCCAATCTAGTCCTAAAATATTTCCCAAAACCAAGACTACTTTAAGGATATACATTATAAGTTGCCATATTAAAAAAAATTATGTGTATTTCCTTATTCTCCATTCAGATGATGAAGAGTTGAGGCAACTAACTTAGCTTTTCTTAAATCCTATGCTGTTTTTCTCATTGATAATGGAGGTGGGAGAGGAAGTGGTTGTCTTATTGAAATTGGCAGATATGTGAATAATCAACATTCATTCATTTCACCATATGTACACAGAGATCTTCAATTTACCCTGTCTCATATATGTCTGGTGGCTGTCATGATTTGGACCCCCTAGCTTGAACAGCACAGCATTTTGTATTGCTGAGGCAAAAAGCGTACTCAGAGTTCTAGACTAGTGGTTCAGGCTGGGATGGGCCTCAAGTAATTCAAGGATTGGTCTTTTGTAGCTTTTATTTTTTGATGTGTCTGTATCTGTGCTTCAGCTTCTGAAATTTATTTCTAAGAGCTAAGAAAAACTGGACTCCCCTACTGCTGTCTCACCACTGTATCTCCACTGGTGAGGATCTATGTCAGTGTAAGCAATGGGCAGTGAGTCTCCTGGCAGAAGCACTTCACAATCCAAAATGTTCTAAAAATTCCTGCTTTAAAGTGTGCAACAATAACAAAAAAAGTTACATGAAACACACAATACAGAAACAAAATCATGTCTATGATTTATACCAAATTAATATCTGCTTGTGTTCAAGAAACAACGTCCAATATGAATTTGGAGGCTGTGGATGGATTTGTGGTTTAGAAAACACACAAATGCCTGCATTTTACATCATTATTATACTGTACTTGATTTTAGTCAAAGGTTCAGCATCCTGTTTGGGGTTTCTTTGGTAAATATTTTTAAAACTTGGAACAACTCTGGTACAAACCCCAAATATATGTAGATCAGCACAATCCATGTCCACATAGGTTGGCTTGAGCCTGGATCTCTTCTTTGATTCTGTTTTTGGTTTCCAGAGGTGTGCCAGAAAATTTAGTAGAAACAGTCAAAACAGTGGTTGTTAAAGTTGGGTAACCTCCAGAAAATTTTACATGTAATTTTAGGGCGCCGTGGACCCTCTGAGCTCTCACCACTAATATCCTTACCTCAAGCCCAATAGGGAACCTTATAGTTTCACCACAGTTTGTAATGCTTGAATTTCTAACTAACAGTTGAGAATGACATATTTGTGATAGTCTCCTGGCATTTCTGTAGAGCTCGCTGTATTGCAATCTTAGTATGTGTATAGAGGTTGGCCAGAGAAGTAGAAGCAGTAAGAAACATATAGTAATATATGTTTAGTACAAGAGGATATAGTACAAGAGGTAGGCTTAGTGATTGCGGCACTGGTTAGGTAGTGCAAGATCCATAGGGCAGGCTGCCAGGAATGGAGGATGAAGCTATAATTCTCAGGCAGAGGCCTAAGTTGCTTCCACAGGCAGAATTTAGGGAAATCCTAGCGCTGCTTTTAAGATCTGTGAATTGATTGAATCAGGCCCACTCAGATATCTAGGAAAATCTCTTTTACTTAGAGCGAACCAATTATGAATTCTAACAACATCTATAAAATACCATTACCTCAATACCGAGATTAGTGTTTGATTTTTGTAATAGGGTGATCTAGCGTGGCGAAGTTGACACACCTACAGGACCATCACAGTGTGCTTGGTATTTCAGGTGTGGATTGTGAGCCTCTTTGCTGCTTTCAGACCTGGCTAGCTCTGGTGATGATCTATTCTGTCCTTCCTTTCTATTAAAATCTCCTTCAGGCTTCAGTTGCCTGTAGGTGACGTCCATGGGGGTGACAGATAGTTCTATTCCAGAGCAGGGCAAACTTGGGTCTTTTGTGTGACTTCAGAAGAATTGCAACTAACATGGCGTGAACCCTTCCCTTTCCCTGCCAAGGCCTGTGAATAAATCATGAACATTCCCTCTATACCAAAATAGAGTGCTGGGCCTACCAGTGAATTTCAGAAGAGTCTGCTTTTGCCTTGAGAATCCGACTGAGAATGTAGTTTACCACACTGCAGTAGAGTAAGGAAATACTTGGGCCAGTGAGATCTTTTTATCAGGTTTCTGTTTTGGTACTTGGGATTGACCCTAGGGGTGCTTTAACCATTGAGCTACACCCTCAGCCATTTTTTAATTTTTTTTTTATTTTGAGAGAGGGTCTCAATAAGTTGCTTAGGGACTCTCTAAATTGCTGAGGCTGGCCTTGAACTTGTGATCCTCCTGCCTCAGCCTGATGGGATTACAGGCATACACCACCATGCCAGGCTTTTTTTTTTTTTTTTAAATCAGCTTATAGCTGAGCCTACACATACTCTATAAATACTGTGTCCCAGTAGAGGTGGAGATGATCGTAACCATCATTCTCCCTGTCTGCATCTCCATCATCCTGTCTGTCATGATGAAAGCTGCAGTTCTTTTCCTTCTAAAGGCTAATTCTTCCACTTGGTCCTTGTCAGGCTGCTATCAGGAGAGTTCCAATCCCACTTCCTCTTCCTGAGTCGGGACTTTTCCGTTCAGTATCTTTAACATTTTGTTCTTTAGAGGCATCTTCACTCTTAATCATCTCTATCATTAAAGAAACAAACCCTCCCCTGTCCTTCCATCCAGGGCCCTATCTCTGGCTTCTTCACAGCCAGTCACAGTGCATTTTCCACTTCTTCACATTCCATTCATTCCTCAACCACCTACAATCAGTCAGAATTGCTTTCACCATGATCACAAAGGCCTCCTTCCTGCTCAGTCTCATGGGCACATTTTTTAAAAAATATTTTTTATATTTTTTTCCCCTTTTGTAGCATTTGGCATTGCTATCCACTCTAATTTCCTTTCTGGGTTTGCTCTTTGCCTTTAACTACTCCTTTAAGACTCTTTGCAGTCTCTTCTTTCCTGTCCATCTTTGAAAAGTTCTTGTTCCTCAAAGTTCCATCTTTGGCACTCTTCTTTCTGTACACGTTTATTTCATGTCCTTCCCCACGGCTTGGGATTCGGCTATGGTGTATAATTTGATGACTCTTAAATCCTTGTCTTCAGCCCCAATGTCTGTCTTGAGGTTTAGACGCTCATATCTTGCTGTACACTAGACATCTCCCCTCAGGTATCTTATAGGCTCTTAACTAAGCATATCACCTCTCTGAAACCTGATGCTTCTTCTGTGACACCCCTCCTGCCATCTTGGTGGACTGAACCTTCATTGGTTTAGCTGCTCCAGTCAGCCATGCTCTTCCTTGTCTTTTAACAATTCCCATATCCAATCAACCACCAGTGCTGTTGATTCTGTCTCCTTCATATCTCTCAAATCCATCCACTTTTCTCCACGGCTACTTCCTTGATTCAGACCTACATCATCTCTTCTTAATTACTGTTGCAGTTTCCATTAAATGTATTTCCTGACACCATGCAGCCCCTTCTCCTCTCTCTCAAACTCTACTCCCCAAATTTCACTTGTGTTTTCAAGAAGGAAAAATGCTTTCTATGATCTTTATTTAGGTAATTTCAAGGCGTGGCTACTCCCCTGGACCCTCTTTCATCACAGAACTAGTTGCACAGCTTTGCTGTTTGCCGGTCCACTTCTTTGAAAATGAGTCTGTCTTACTACTGCACCTTGGTGCTTAGTACATGTCAGCTATGGAATAGGCATCCAATAAATACTGCTGAAAGAACATTGCATGAACACACAGCTCCTAAGATTTCAGTTGCAAGCTATATGTAGCACAGCCAAGGTCTTCATACCAACTTTAAAAGTTGTGATTTGGAGTGAACCAGGTTGAGTTGGATGGGCAATAGGTTTGGTCTTATCAAATTAGGGAGTAGAGAGTAGAACCCGAAATCAAGTTCCTCAAGTGTATTTTGAAAGATGGGTTCTGTTGTCTTACTTTTCATGTGATTGTTTTAAATTATAGAAAGATCTTGTAAATATCTATTTTATAATAGCTGTCATAGTCATCTCTATGGATGCATGATAAGCAATTTAGCTTACTCTTTTTTGCTAGTAGACATCTGTTCCATCAAGGTTATTTTAAATGTTCAGGGCATTGCTAGAAATTTCTTGGAGAAGGTTAAAAGGTTCTATTTGATACAATACCCTATGTGCATATATTACTACATGATTGGTGTGATCCTATATCACATACAACCAGAAGAATGAGAAGTTATTCTCCATTTATGTATGATGTGTCAAAATGCATTATACCATCATATATAACTAATTAGAATGAATTAAAAAAAGATTTCATTTGGTTTTGAGATCTTTAAATGAGGTGACCAAAAAAATAAAAGTTTTTAGTGTATTTGTCTGTTACCTTTGATGCGAATATCTGCTTATTAACTACCTCATTAAAAATAAATAATAGATTCTTTCTTCCTAACCACAGTGAGCTTTAGAGGATTCTAAATCAAATGACACAGCATATATCTAGTTTGCTCCTACAACTCCTGGGAACAGTAGAATTAAAATAGATTATTTAATCTAAGGTTTATTAAAATGTATTTATTTGATGAATTGAGACATTTGTATCTTGGAAATAACATGAAGGAAAAAAAAAGGTAGGTGGAGAGAAACATGAATTATAGGGTTCATTTTTTAAGGTGTTATTTTATAAATTTTTGTACTATGGATGTTTTTAGAAAAAAAATTCTTGTCTTCTTAATGATACTATCCCAGAATATCTTTGATTTGCTTTGTCAAATGTTGTCAAGTTATTTTATGAATAATTAAGGCATTCTAAATACATTCAGATTTTATTTAGGATACTAATTTTAAGTATTCCTGTTTCACAGTGATTATTATCAGCTTGGTAGAAAGCTAAGTCTGCCTCACATTCAAGCCAAAATTAAAAATTTGCATGTGAGAGTAAATTATTATTTTAAAATTCTTTACTAGCATGTGATACAGCTTTGTAAAATACAATATGCTGGTATTATAGCTTGCTTTTATTTAATCTTTAACAAGATACAAACAATGTTAGGTTTGGAAGACTTTAGAGTAAGTGATTTTGATGCTAAGGTTTCTAACGTGGGTTTCTACTACCTTTACTATTTTTGTTTGGAAGGGTGATACATTGAAGGTTGAATTTTTTTTTTGAGATTTGCAATGTTTGCTTTTGAGCTGAGTTTACCCAGATGAGGGGCTATTTCTGTGTCTAATCACTGGATTCAGGAAGCTGTAGTTTACTATACAATTTATAGAATGCAAAGCAAAATTACTTTTACATTTAGACTCGAATTTCATAATAGAGATGGAAGAAATCTAGAAAACACATTTTAAAAAGACTTCCTGGCAGTAAAATGACTCATCAGAGTGCCTCTCCTTTGCATGAGGACAATTTCCCATGATGAGAGTGGATACTAATAATACATAGACTGCTAACATCAGAGAAGGAGATTTGATCCAAGAAGATAAGTTTGATACTATAGATTTAAAAAATCACTATTTTTGATTTTTCTTGCAAAAAAATAATTTTTTTGGCAGCTGTGAGTTCATTCAGTGCTTCAGAATCTAAGATCAAAAATCCCTCCTGACTAATATTGGAACATGCAAGTCATTGGCCATGGTGATTGCAAGTTCAACTGACATTTAAAAATCTTCAAATTGGGTGTGGTTCATACTTGTAATCCCAGCTACTCAGGAGGCTGAGGGAGGAGAATTGAAAGTTTGAGGCCAGCTGGAGCAATTCTGTCTCAAAATAAAATAAAAATAGTAGGAGATGTAGTTCAGTGGTAGAGCATTTGACTCGCATGTGGGAGGCCCTGGGTTAGTTTTTAAAAATTTGCTGTAGGAGCATGTATTTAATATAATTCTTCTACATTAGATTGCTAGTGTATGCTATTGAAAGTAATATTTTTTATTTTGTTCTTCTGATAATGTTAAGTTTTTTGGGAAAAAAAACCCCTGTTTATTGTTTTTCAGGTATACATATGGGAAGCCAGTGAAAGGAGATGTAGTGCTTACATTTTTACCTCTATCTTTTTGGGGAGAAAAGAAAAATATTACAAAAAAATTTAAGGTAATTTTTTCAGTTTATAACTTGTGGTGGGAAAATATGTGTATTTTTCCTAAAAATAAGATTTTGTACTATATTAGCAAAAAAATTGAATGTAAGAAAATCAAGAACTTTGTGGCATTGGAAAAGTGAGAATTTACCCACTTACAACACTGATTAATATGGAGCCATTGTGGTGTTGTGACTTAGTGTGAGTTTTATTTCTAGAATTTGAATTGCTAAAGTGAGAATAAAACTGAACTTTTAAACAAAACAGATAAATGGATCTGCAAACTTCTCTTTTAATGATGAAGAGATGAAAAAGGTGATGGACTTTTCAGATGGGCATTCTGAACACTCGGATCTCTCTACTCCTGGGCCAATAGAAATTCTAGCCACAGTGACAGAATCACTTACAGGTTTGTGGACATTGACTTGAAGGTAAAACTACTTATGTGTTGTTGCTCTGAAATCTCTTTTTATAACTTGCACTTTCACTTGGGGGCATTAGTTGCTTTTTTAAAGATGCTATTTAATGTTGAAGTTTTCAAGACTATAAAATAGTCTAACTTGTGAGATGTTTTCATAATAGAAGTGAAACTTATTTTCTGTGAAAGTTTGTGCTTCAATCACATGTGATAGCTATTTGCATTTTTCAATTTTTAGTCTCTTTTTAGCTTGAAAACCCACCCAGAAAGGCCTACATTTTCAGCTATTATTTCTTCTTCCTCTTTCTTCTCCTTCTTTTTTTTTTAGTTGTTGATAGACCTTTATTTTATTTATTTATATTCGATGCTGAGAATCAAACTCAGAGCCTCATACATGCAAGGCAAATGTGCTACTGCTGAGCCACAACCCCAGTCACCTTCTCCTTTTTTTTTTTTAAAAAAATTACTTAACATAATCTGATATCTCACCTGGTTCTAGATGATTTTCTCCTTTAATAAAAAAAAATGTTAGTTATTTGTACGTTTCTGTTGTTATTTCAACAGCTTTAACCAATCACTGGAAGAGCAAAAGACTATTCTGTCACTGGCCCTAATCTGCTTTTGTGTGTCTATGTCACTGAGGGAGGATGGTGGTAGTAGTGTTTAATTAAAAGCAGTCCACAGAGAACATAATAGACCATGTGGTTCTCTTATTGTGTGTTAAGCCAGTATACAAATGAGGCTTATGTGTCCTGATATCTTCAGCCTCTTTTACAAGTAGCTGAGATGGAAAGATTTGGTGGATAGAAGCTGTTGGTGAATTATTTCTTTTTAATTCTAAATGATGCAATTTCCAAAATAGGCATCTCAAGAAATGCAAGCTCCAATGTGTTTTTCAAGCAACATGATTACATCATTGAATTTTTTGATTATGCTACTGTCTTGAAGCCAACTCTGAACTTCACAGCCACTGTAAGTTGGTATATTTATTACTAGTCCATAGCAGTAAGTTCAGTTGAATGAAACAGAATGGGAAAGAGTATAATCAATGTTTCTTCAAAAATTTTAGTCAAAAATTCAATATATTACCTTTTCTCTTTAGATATGTGAGGTATGTAGAATTGTTTCTAAGTGATCTGGGCCTACTTTTTCTAAAAGAGTCATTTCTAACAACAACAAAATATCTTCCTAGAGATTCATTTAGCAAACAGTTTAAGTTAGATTTGTTACACTGAAGCTTTTATTAATTGAAGGGGTTTGATAGTGGTCAAAATTTTAATGTAAATCACTTTTCTTTTTTCTTTTTTTGTACTGGGGAATTGAACTCAGGGGAACTCGACCACTGAGCCGTACATCCCTAGCCCTGTTTCCTTATTTTGTATTTTGTTTAGAGATAAGGTCTCACTGAGTTGCACCTCACCTTAGAACTCTTAGATCCTCTTCTCTCATCCTCCCAAGCCATTGGGATTACAAGTGTTGTGCCACCACACCGGGCTTAAATCTGATTTTTATAATGCTAATTTTATTTCTAGAAAAGATACAACTTTAAAATTTAACATCAAATCTCTTTTTCAAAAAAATGTTGAATTAACACTTGTTACTTTAATACATTTTGACAGAGTGCAAGGTGTGGTGCAAGGCAGGGCTTATGGAGCTAAGAAAGACCCAGTGCTACCTAGTTCAAGGTTTTTCTGATGGTGACAAGAAAATATGCACAGAACTATAATTCAAGGAAGTATAAGATTCACTCATGAGTTAGTTTCTGTAGGGATTTAAAGCAGGTGTTGCAAACTTTTCCTCCAGAGATTAGATAGTAAATATTTTTAGCTTTCTGGGCCATATGGTCTTTGTCACATCTACTCAGCTCTGTCATTGTAATATGTAAGTAGCCACAGCCGATTTGTAAACAAACGAGAGTGACTATATTCCAGTAAAACTATATTTACAAAAATACTGGATGGGCATGCCTGCTTTCCAGTTAGCTAACCCTTGTTTAAAAGAAAGGAGGGGCAGATCCTTGTTGAATGTGTGAGGAGAAGTTTTAGATAGTTACTGATTTCAGTTATCTCAATAATTTAGACAATTTGAAAGATAAAAATCACAAGGCTGCTGATATTTGTTTCCAGATGAGGGAAACAATGGAGTTCAGTAAGGAAGGTTTGGGTTTGGGATAGGAATGGGGGTTAAGGAATACTATATGGAAGAGGAAGTTCTGAACGCTTTGTTAAAAGATTAGTAGAATTTTAAGTGTTTGGGCATGGGGGTGGGAGGTGGGGAGCAAGATGAGTTGAGACAAAAAACAAACAATAGTGAGAGGCTGGTTGGCAAATTCAGAGGTATTCAGAAGGCAGTGACTGGACAATTGCAGTCCCAGCTGAGCATTGTTTCTGGGAGTGATAAAACAGGAGGGTCCTGAATGTCTCCCAAATGGATTTGAACTTTATACCCTAGGGATATGGTGGAAACTGTTTGAGTAGGACTGATGGGGTTATGTGCTGGAGGATGGAAGCAGCCTCAGCGTGGGGCGATGGGGAGCCTCGTGATGGTGGCTGGGAGAGTGGCAGGTGGAGCAGAGAAATATATGTCTTGGTGTGCATTAGATTTTGGAGGTAGGGTGAGAGAGGGAACTTTTGGAAAGTAAGTTTTGAAGAATTGTGGTATCAGTGAAAAAAGCAAGGCAAGATGGTTGTTCTGTGTTAGACATGCTGAGTTCCTGGTGACTGGGAGCCAAGTGAAAATTTCTTGGAGGGAACTGGAGGTATTTTGTTGTGAGATGCAGTGCAAGGTAAAAACAGGGTTTTTGAATTTGCCGTACAATCCCAAGGAAACAACAAGCTAAGCCCTAGGAACACTGAGACCTTTGGGGAAGAGTTTACTGATTATTTGGCCTTGACAAATTCCCATATTTTGTGAGAGGAAAGGGGAACCATAAAGGACACTGAGAGGGTGCACAAGGAGAGGTATGAAATGAAAGAGACTGCTGTGGAGCCATGGAAGTCAAGGAAGCCATAATGTTCAGAAAGCAGGATCATGGGCCTCTAGATGCCTCCTACAGAGAGGCCAATGAATCTGAAGATGAGGGTGCCATCAATAACTGTTGAGACTTAGTGTCATGGGATATTACAGATGGAAACTGCAGCCAGCTGAACTTAAATCTTTTTTTTTTTTTTTAAATTACCTGTTTTAAAAATATCTTGTTTTGACAATTAGGTGAAGGTAAGCCGTTCTGATGGCAACCAACTGACTCTTGAAGAAAGAAGAAATAATGTAGTCATAACAGTGACACAGAGAAACAAAACCGATTTCTGGAGCAGACAGAACCGTGGCAATCAGGACATGGACACTGTCCAGATCGTGAATTATACGGTCCCCCCAAATGGAATCTTTAAGATTGAATTCCCAATCCTGGACAACTCCAGTGAGCTACAGCTGAAGGTGACCTCTGTTTCCCACAATTATGGTTCCGGGACACCATCATCTCAATTGTAACTATGTAGATACTCAACCTATCAGAGCTCAAAGGGCAAAGGAAGTGGACATGTTTTTGTTTTTTAAAGTGGGAGAAAGTGTTAGAAGTAATTTAATGACAGTGACTAAGGATTGGCCTGAATGTTTCCTTGTAAGTTCATTTTGAAGAGCAGAGTAAAATATAACAATGTGAAGATATGATGGAGAAGCTCCACAAAACCGGGGTCTAGGTTGATTTTTAGTCATTCGAAATTTTATTTTTAGTGTGTGATGCACATCTGTAATGGCAGTTATTCAGGAGGCAGAGGGAGGAGGATCACAAGTTGGAGGACAGCCTGGGTAACTTAGAGAGCCATATAAAAATATAACATAGGAAAGAGGTAGGGATATAGCTCAGCAGCAGAGCAATTGCCTAGCATGTGTGAGGCCTTAATTAAACATGGGTTTAATCCCTAGTACTGGAAAATAAAAATAAAAGTGAATTTATTTTAGCAGGAGATGGAATCAAAGAGGTTTATGTATTTGTAAAACCTTTGCTGAGCTTTCTTTCCCAGAGTGGTTTGTCTGAGAATCCTCAGCCATCCCTGCTGCCTGCCTTCTGGTTACTCTGTCCTACTCCATTCAGGGCCCTGGCTGAGCAGGGTGCCCCACAGATGTGGCTTCTTTGATTTGCACTCTGAACCTTGGTGGATTGAGTGAGGTGTTTGTGAGCTGTGTGTTGTGGAAAAGGAAAGGGTTCCTTTTCCATTTCATTTTCAGAATGTTTCTTGATAAAATAACTTTTGTTTCTGAAAAAGAGCTGTGACACCCCCCATTCCAGCCCAGGTTATTATAGTAAAGACTCTTATGTATAATTTTCAAATTGGCAGATTCTTGATGGTATGGCTATAAAATGATGAAGATGAGTATCTGGTAAATGTATTTTTACTGCTCAAAAAAAGAAAGCGAATTTGGCTTTTAGTAATTATTCATCAGACAGCATCTTTTCTCAAGGTTACCCAAGGTGAAAATTTATGGCTTTCTTTCTTTTGCTCTAGGCTTATTTTCTTGCTAGTGTAAGTAGCATGGCAGTTCATGGCATGTTTACATCTCCCAGTAAGACATACATCCAGCTAAAAGCAAGAGATGAAAATATAAAGGTAATATGTCTAATTCACCTGATAATTACAGTACAATTGGACTCTCTTGCCATTGATATGTGCATATTAACTGAGTTTTTTTTTTTTTAAGGTGGGATCACCTTTTGAATTGGTGGTCAATGGCAACAAGCAATTGAAGGAATTTAGCTATATGGTAATCTCTTATAGAATTTAAATTTATGATTTATTATAGAATTATCTTAAATGGTATCTATATTCTGTCTACACTGAATTTATTTTAAAATTAGGCTGTCCCTTTTATATTGCAATCAAAATATTTTTTTAAATTTTTTCATCTGTGTTTCCATTTCTAATGTAAACTGGACGATTAATTTTAGCACTGTGTTTAAAATTCAAATTTCTATTAGATTAATAATATACATCCTTGGGTAGAAATTTGTAAAATATAAGAGAAAATAAAAATGGCATGATGGCTTTGTAATATTTTAAACCCAACTTTCCCAGTGGAGTCCTGTATTTCTCTAATCAAAAATAGATTCTTTACCAAGATGAAGAAATGATAATTGTTTGAGGGGATAGATATGACAGTTACCTTAATCTGATCATTACATGCTGTATTGAAATATCATACCATGACCCACAAGTATGCACAAATGTTACATGACAAATAAAAATAAAAAAATGCCAATAAATTGAGAATTAAAAATATTGATTTTTGACTGCAAAGCTGTTACTCCAGTCAGCATTGTTTTAATCTTCAATTTCTATTTCTTAGGTTATATTATCTGTCAAGTAGGTTTTCTTGTATTTGAAAAGGTGTCAAGACTGGTTTAAGTCAAGATTTATGGATTTGCTTAAAATTATGATAAATATAACTTCAATTGAGCTCCTACTAGCTTTAGTAAAAAATTAAATTTATCTATTTTTTTTTTAGGTAATATCCAAGGGACAGTTGGTGGCTGTAGGCAAACAAAATACAACAACCTTCTCTTTAATACCAGAAAGTTCTTGGGCACCAAAGGCTTGTATAATTGTGTATTATGTTGAAGATGATGGAGAAATTATAAATGATGTCTTAAAAATTCCTGTTCAGCTTATTTTTAAAAATAAGGTAAGATTTAAGATGATAATATTTAAAAGAAACCCTTATATTAGTGAAGTCTGAGACATATACTATTTCTTTAGAAAAGTATCACTAAGCTGAATTGGTTGGGAGGATATATTATTCCCTTTAAAACTATGGTAAAACCTCTTCTGTATTTAGTTACTATGTATATATTTAAAAAAATTATTTTTAGTTGTAGGTGAACATAATGCCTTTATTTTATTTTATTAAAAAAATTTTTTTAGTTGTAGTTGGACATAATACCTTTATTTTATTTATTCTTATGTGGTGCTGAGGATCGAACCCAGTGTCTCACACATGCTAGGCAAGCGCTATACCACTGAGCCACAACCCCAACCCCCCATAATTCCTTTATTTTTAAGGGTTGCTGAGGATCGAACCCAGTGACTCACCTGTGCTAGGTGAGCACTCTACCACTGAGCCACAACCCCAGCCCCTATATATGTGTTTTTGCATGTGGAATTGTTTGGCTCTATGGGTCTTATTTGTGACACAATGTTCTTGGCTGTAAGACTTCAACTTAAAAACATGAAACCATTCAGGACTTTTCAAATAGTTGAGTTGACGTTGCTTGGTTGTGAAATTCAGTGGCACCGTAGTATCTGTGTGGTTTGACATTGCCATGGATTGAGGAAGTGAGGCCATCTGCCATGAATTTAAGAAGCAGACCTGGGCTTGGTTTATCTATTACATCAGCTGGAAACTAACCTGGGACAGATTTTTTTAATATACTTGGTCACCTTGCACATGAGGACCTGTGTGAAGCCTGGCCTCCAGATGCATCAGTGCTTTTTATAGCCCGAGTAATCAGCTTGTGTAGAAAGCTGCCTTGGCCCCTAACTGAAAAGAAACATGATTGAATCATCTCACATGGATCAGCCATAGTTTACTAAAAATTACTGTCTTTCTAGTCCTCATTGTTTTAAAGCAGTGGTTTACAGAGTATGGTTCTTCCATGCTTTCTTTTGTTGAGACTTGTTAACCCTAACTTTGATTATCAGAATATAAACTTCTACTTTTGTCTGATGAAAAGACACGAGATATTTTTCTTTTTTAAGAAAGAAAACACAGGGGCTGGGGTTGTGGCTCAACGGCAGAGCACTCACCTAGCATGTGTGAGGCCCTGGGTTTGATCCTCAGCCCCACATAAAAACAAATAAATAAAATAAAGGTATTGTGTCCACGTACATATTAAAAATTGTTAAAAAAAAAGAAAGAAAACACAATGGGGTTGTGGCTGGGGCTCATGGCAGAGTGCTTGCCTAGCACATATGAGGCACTGAGTTAGATTCTTAGCACTGCATACAAAATGAGCACATAAAAAAAAGCCATGCTGTCCATTTACAACTACAAAAAAAAATAAAGAAAAGAAAAGACTATATTTTGTTAGCTTCAGAGCCCAATTTTTACTTCTAGTAATAGTAGTCACTTGACAAAAGTGAATTTTAAAGTAGGAGTCATGGAGGCTTAACCAAGGAGACACATTTCTGAAAGTGAGATCAAGCTCTAAAAGTAGTAACAGTGTACAAGATCATGGATGTTGAGGAAGCAGAGTTTTTGAGAGCATATTTCAAGAAATTTCTTAGACATATGAGATAGGAAATTAGTTTCAGTTCCATTTGCAAAGATGTATCTTAAACTTTTATGCAACAATTATTGCACTATGCAGAAACTGCATGAATCATAATAGAAAGTGTTTAGGAGAAAATTTGTGAATCTTTGTTGATGTTCAACGATGACAATGGAATGAATGAATGAGATATAGAAAGGGATAAGAAGATGTAGGTTTAGAAATTATCCACATAGAAGTGTAAGTTGAAGCCATGGGGTGTCTGAGGTTCAGAGAATAGAGTGAACTACAAGGTCTAAGACAGCCTAGAATACACTACTTCCCACCCAATAACCCCTCTCTCTTTTAGAGTGTAGGTGAAGAAAGTAAACTAGATATGAAGGCTTGAGGAGTGTATTGCACCAGATCAGATAGGCAGGAGGGGAATACTTTAACTCAAGACTCTACAATGGACTAGAGATTGAATTCAAGTTTACTGAAACAAAATGCAGGAGACGGGGCTGGGGATGTGGCTCAAGCAGTAGCGCACTTGCCTGGCGTGCGTGCGGCCCGGGTTCGATCCTCAGCACCACATACAAACTACGATGTTGTGTCCGCCAAAAACTAAAAAATAAATAAATATTTTAAAAAAATGCAGGAGAGTGTTAAAGCATTTGGTGAATTAAAATAAAAGTACTGGAGGTTGTTGTGGGGATATTGGTAAGTGTTTAGACCCTCAGTTTTTGCTAATCAGCACTTATTGAAGTTGGCTCCCACTTTCCCATTGAGACTAAGAAAATAGCTGGGACTCTGCCATTCTTTATGATCACACTTTAAGAGGATGGCTCCCACCAGGATATTTAAGTTTTAAAGAGTCAGAGAAAGACTTTGAATTGCCAGTTGTCTAAAGCAGATGTTCTAAGGAAAGGAACGTTGGGGGCTACAGTCAGGAAGAAGCCTATCCAAAGTTTAATGAAGCCTAAGGTGGCATTAAGGCCATCTTGGACAGATGGTGTCATCATTGATACAGGGGAATGTAGAGATGCTAGATGAAATGAGAGTCCCCAGTGGGAAGGGGCCTCATGACAAAGCCCTCTGTTCAGCAGTCATGCAATGACTGACAGTTTCTAAGAAGTAATAGGACCACACTTCATTGTGAGTAATGACAAGAAGTTCAGGTAGCTATGGAGACATAGGGCACAGAGGTCTTGGACAGAACCCCCATATCTCACAGCCCAGCTAGTTCTGTGAGTCCTCTGGGAGCTCTCTGTGTTTATTCCCAAGTTCAGGTTACTTTAGGTTTCTTTCCTCTTTTGTGTGCCCCCTCTAGGATGTTGTCCTTCCCAGGTGTGCTAGACACTGCTATCTTATGTCAAGCATTGGCTGGGGGATGAAGAATGGGAGAGGGAGAGAGACAGGGAAGAGAGATGGGAAGGATAATTCAGATTTATAAGTACTGTGAGAAGTTGACTTGCAAGTATGAGGGAATAGTTTTCTTTTTGTTATTTTCTTATGTATGGTTTTAGAATTATCCCTGGACCAAGGCAAGTAAAGAAATTTTTAGATTTTGAGTCCTTGATCTGTTATTGGTAGAGTATGTAAGTAATGATTTTTAAAAAGTGAAATCAATCAATCCTATTTTCTCCCTTTCTTAGATAAAGCTGTTTTGGAGCAAAGCTCATGCTGAACCTTCTGAGAAAGTCTCTCTCAGGGTCTCTGTAACACAGCCGGACTCAGTAGTTGGGATTGTAGCTGTTGACAAAAGTGTGAATCTGATGAATGCCTCAAATGATATTACAATGGAAAATGTGAGTTTAGCTTTTTAAAAATTATACACTTTTTTTTAAAATGTGTTCTTTTTAGCTATACACGACAGAGTGTATTTTGACACATTATACATTCTAATTAGGATCCCAACTTGTGGTTGGACATGATGTGGAGTTTCACTGGTGGTATATTCATATATGAACATAGGAAAGTGATGTCCGATTCATTCGACTGTCTTTTCTGTTCCCATTCCTCCCCTTCCCTTCATTCTCATATCCTTTTTGTCTCCATGGCATTTCCTTCTCCTCCCCTGCCCTGACCAGATGATGGTGTCGTTTAATTCTGTATGATTAGGGATTGCCCTCTATGTTCTTTTTTTCAGTTTTTAATCCTGCAAATTTGTATCCACTCTTTTTTTCTTCCCATTTTATTTTTTTATCTCTTTCTGGGACTCCTATTATTCAGAAATTTGGCATTTCTACTTTTATCCTTTGTATCTCTCCATTTTTTGTTTCATGTTTTCTGTCTCTTTTTCTGTAGTTCTTTGAGAGTTCTTCCATTGATTCTTCCAGCTCTGAGATTATTTATCATCTTATCTATCCTACTTTGATAAATTTTCTTTTTTTCTTTATGCTGGCTGTGATTTTCATTTTTGTTTTTAACTTATTTTTATTTTGTTAGCTATTATATTTTTAGTACCTGTTTTTCATTTGAGTCGTATTTTTTGTTCCTTTTTTCTTTTTCTTGGTAACAGGGATTGAGCCCAGAGGTGATTAACTACTGAGCAACGTCCCAGCCCCTTTTTGTACTTTATTTAGAGACAGGGTCTCACTGAGTTGCTGAGTCTGGCTTTGAATTTGTGATCTTCCTGCCTCAGCCTCCATAGTCATTGGGATTATAGGTGTATGCCACTGCACCTGGCTTTTTCCTTTTTCATATTGCTAATATTTCTCTTATATCTCTTTATACATGTTTACTAGGCTTATTTTAAATTCTTGAGTTGATCTTTTCAACAATTATGTTTCATATGCCATATGTTGTCTAGTTGAATATTTTTTTTTTTGGTAGTTATAACCTTTGGGTGTCTTTTGGGTGTCTCTCTCCTCTGATAACATCTATTGGGGGGAAAACTGAATACCATGCTCCAATTTTTGGTGTAGGTCCTGGGATTTTAAAGATAAAGAATGGGTTGAAACTCATTACTCTTGTTCCTTTATTTTTGCTATGTGCTTCTATTCAAGAGTTTCACTTAAACTCTTAGGGAAATGAAGCACTAGGAAGAGATTATGATCCAAGCTCTGAGGGTTTGGAAGAGTTGGGGAGGAGGGTCTGGCCATGTTTTTCTCACATCAGAAATGCCCACCTGCTATTATCTTTGGGGCATCTACAAGGGCAGTCAGCTGCTGTTGATCTTGACAGGGAAATTTAAAAGAATGATTTTCCTAATGCTATCTCCTGGAAAGAAGCAACAGCAGAATTATAAAAACTTTCCTCCATCCTGTCTCCTGGTTTCTCTTTAGTTATCTTCTGCCTCATACTGAAGCCATTTGCTTCCTTCCAGCACCAGTTCAAGATATCCTCCACTCTTTTGGGGATTTTCGTATCTCACTCACCCAAATTTTCTCTTTGCTTTTATTATTTCTCCAGAGTTGACTCTGAAGGTGGGAGTTAGGAGCCTGTGATACCAGTCTGTCCTGGCTTCCCTGTTTCTTGTTGAGTGTTTAGAGTACTTCAGTTGTTCTAGGTCTTCCAGGAACAATTCTTAGGCATTTAGCCTTCCCATTGTTAGCTTGTGCTGCAGCTTTGCAGTGCTTTTTATTGAGGCAGTGAGAAAAGGAGGATTGCTTTATGAGATACATGCTGCTTCTTGATTAGTTAACATCTGTTCCTACTTGAGTGAGAGCAGAAGCAGATCTTCAAGTACTTGTATTTTGTGGCAGAGCTAGAGTCATGAAATTAAAACCTTTTCTCTCATTATGTCTGACTCTGGCCCTGGCTCCATCATCTATGGGTTGGCCTAACTATATTTGCTGGCTTTTTGAGACATGATGAAACTTTTTGTTTTCTCATTTGATCATTTTCTTATTGGTGACTGTTATGGTTTGGATTGGAAGTGTCCCCTAAATGTTACTGTGTCAATGTAGGAATGTTCAGAGGTGAAAAAATTAGGTTATGAGAGTTGTAACCCAGTCACTTCATGGGTTAATACTTTGAAAGGATTACTATCCTAGGGGGTAACTGTAGCCAGATGGGACATGGCTGGAAGACGTGGGTCACTAGGGGCATGCCTTGGGGATTATAGCTTGTCCTCCTGAATCCTCCTTCTCTCCCTCTTTGCTTCCTGGCCACCATGTCTTAAGCTGCATTCTTCTGCCATGCTCTTCCCCATGATGCTTTGCTTCACCTTTGGCCCACAGCAATGAAGTTGGCTGACCACGGACTGAACCTCTGAAACTGTGAGCTCAGAATAAACTTTTTCTCCTCTAAATTGTTCTTGTCAGGAATTTCAGTCACAGCCACAAAGAACTAACACAGTGCCAGATCATCATGTTTGCTTAATGCGGATGTAACCATGGTTATTAGCTGAAACAGAGGTTGCAGGTGTTTAACTCTATCTTAGAATGAGTTTTTTCAACTTAGATGCTTTCATGGTTTTTACCTTTATCTCAGTTTGTCTTGGTCAATGCTAATGTAAATAGGGAGAAGTATTAAAACTGACCTAAAAAGATATAATACTTTAATTTTGTTATCATAGTAAAACAGTATACCATAAAATTTGCCACTTCTACCATTTTAGCGTACAATTCAGTGGCATTAATTTCTTTGCAAAGTTGTATAGCCGCCATTAGTATTTCCAAAACTTTCATTGCTCCAGAGATGCTGTAACATTCAGGCAGTAATTCCCCATTTTCCCCTGGCCCTGACCCCTGGCAACCTCTAATCCACTTCTATCTTTTATGAATTTGATTGGTTTACCTATTTATTTATTCTAGACATTTACTTATTACTTCTACCTTTTGGCCATTGTGAGTAATACTGTAATGAACATTGTATAGAAGTATCTCTGAGTGTTTGCTTTTGGTTCTTTTAGTATGCATCTAGGAGTGGAACTGCTGAGTCATATTCTAAATTACATATTTAAATTTTTGAGGAAAAAGAATGAGAGTTTTACTCACTCTTTTAGCCTATTTATCTATTATTGTTAGCAATGAGTACTATTCTTAAAAAATAATAATATTTCTAATGTTATTATTATTGGTATAATTTGGAAATATTATCTTATAGGTATAATTTGTATTGCTTTGATCATCAATGTGGTTGAATATTTTTTCTTCCTATTAATAATTTATATTTCCTCTTTTCTGAATTGTCTGCTTAGGTTATTGAAAAAATTAGGTAAATGATATTTTATAGATATATTCATTGACATCCAGTTTAAATATCTCTGCCAGATAATTTTTAATACTGACCTTTATATGTTGATCTGTCAATCAGTGACATTTAAGTTCCTTCTGGGCAAAACTCAATTTTGTACTTGAAGGAGTTCTGGATTGCTAAGCAGAATAAAAATAAGTTTATTAAAATTGGTTGGAAGAACTATAATTCCAACCAATTGAATCATGAGCAGAACATTCACATATTCATTACTCCTTGATTTGAATCATTTTCAAGTTTAATAAGCCTGGGGGCTATGACTAATCTAAGTTACTTATAAGAAATGATGTGGAAGACAGAAAGTATTGATATGAAACTAATCATTCTGTGTATTTTATCTTCTTTGTAGGTGGTCCATGACTTGGAACTTTATAACACAGGATATTATTTAGGCATGTTTATGAATTCTTTTGCTGTCTTTAAGGTATGTTCAGTTTTATCTATAATTTAGGGGGCTGGGGATGTAGCTCAGTTGGTAGAGAGCTTGCCGCACATGCACAAGGCCCTGGGTTCAATCCCCAGCACCGCAAAAGAAAAAAAAAAGTATTAGATTTGTTCTATAATTTGAAGACCATAGTATCTTTTACTATATCAAACACTATCAGAATTAAAGATCATTGTGAGATGTTAACCTTTTATTATATGTGTCACTAAAGTGCACTATTACATAAGTATAATTGGAGATGGAAAGATAATCATCCTTTCAGTTTTAAAAGTAAATGGAAAAATTCACCATTAGAGAGAGAAATGGAATTATCACTAAACAAATAGTTTATTTCCTTCATATTACTTTCTTTGACTTTGAAATGGCTGTTCATGCATATGAGAGAGAGAGAGAGAGAGAGAGAGAGAGAGAGAGAGAGAGAGAGAGAGAAAGAAAGAGAGAGAGAAACTATCTAAGCTCTCAAGAATGGGCAAGAGTGAGTCTAGAG